AGCGGTGAGGAGTTGAACAGGCGGGCTCCCACCGACAAAGATGCTACAGCCGAAATCATTGACGATGGTGACAGACTGACGGACAGGACGGACACCCCTGTAGAACAGTATAGTCCAAGCACAAGACCATCCATACCATCGTCACCAACACTTTCATCATCCTCCATCATTAGTTTAAATACAGTTCCACCCACTTCGACCTTGAATGCTGCGCGGGGGGTATCTACCTTCTTACCCGCGTCCACCAAGGCTGGAAAAGCAAGAGTTCGTATGAGATGGAGTAAGGAAGTAAACATATTTATCATGCGAACCTACTTCCACATCACCAAATTAGAGACCGACATCACCACATACAGACAAATTACCATAACAATTACAACAGTGGTACTAACTTCCAAAATAATAATAACAATTTTAATAGTTATCAAGGTAATAGATTCCAGTATACGCCGCGAGGTAGAGGACAAAACATGGTCTACAACAACAGAAGGGGATACAACAACAAGAAAGGTAATTTTAACAATAGAATATTAGCGTTACAAAATGATAGGCCAATACGAATTGCTGATAACGTAGAACACCCAGTTGATGAGAGAGAGAGAGAGTAACCAGTTTTTTCGGACTTAATAACTTAGTTTTTGCTTGTAGAGGTAACACTAAATTCGTAAATTTTTATGTTAAGAATAGGAAGATTATACTACTGGTAGATACTGGAGCATCTATTTCGGTAATTAAGGAAGAACAAATTCCTAAGTCGAGTGAAATATTTTACAATAACTTAGTAGTAAATGGAATCGGAGGAAAAATCGAAGCTTCGAGTTATGTTATTTTAGACATTTCACAGTTCTAAATATGATAAATTTACGAGTTTTATAGAGTCAAGAATTTACCTATCGCCGTTGATGGAATATTAGGATTAGATTTTATAACTAGAAATAAGGCTAAAATAAATTTAGAAAATAATTTGCTGACGCTGCAAATTGATGGTAAGCATTGTATTTTACCGATTTTCTATAAACTTGATTATAGTAACTCGTTAGTACTCGCACCTCGAAGTGAGTCTATACATTATGTGTATTTGAATAAGCAAGTGGAAGAGGATTGTTTTGTGTGCGCGAGAGGGATAGAAAAGGATGTATTTTTGGCAGGAACTATTGTTCAACCGAAAAATAAACGCGTTCCAATTAATATTTTAAATACTAGAGATGAGGAAATAAGATTAAACAATTTTACTTTAGATGTGGAACCTTTGAGAGAGTATAACATTTTTAAATTTGGTCAGTGTAAAAGTAGCTCCAATAGGGCTAAATCTTTGTTACCTTTATTAGAACTTAATCATTTAAACAATGAAGAGAAAGAATCAATTGAAACCATTTGTTCTAAATATTCTTATATTTTCTTCTTACCAGGTGACAAATTAGAAACTACTAATATTTGCGAACATACTATTACATTAAAAAATAAAACTAATCCAATATATACAAAACAATATAGATTACCACATGCATTAAAAACTGAAGTAAATAAAGAAATAACAAAGATGCTCGATGACGAAATTATCGAGGAATCTTCTAGCGAATGGTCAAGTCCTATACTATTAGTACCTAAAAAGTCTGAAAGCACCTGACCCAGAAAAAACTAAAGTTCTAGATAAGTTTCCAGTTCCTCAGAATGCCGATGAAGTAAGACGCTTTGTTGCTTTTTGCAATTACTATAGAAAATTTGTACCTTCATTTGCTACCATAACAATGCCTTTAAATAATTTACTAAAAAGAGATGTACCTTTCATTTGGAATTCAGATTGCCAAAATGCATTTAATTTCTTAAAAAACGTTTAATTTCTCCACCAATATTAGAATACCCAGACTTTGGTGAATCTAATGAATTTGTACTGCAAACAGACGCCTCAGACTTGGCTGTAGGAGCTGTGCTGTGTAATAAAAATAGAAAACCTATAGCTTATGCTAGTAGACCATTAAATAAAGCTGAAAAGAACAATCCCGTAATAGAAAAAGAATTAACAGCAATAGTGTGGGCAGTTAAATATTTTAGCAGATGCCCTATTTATTTGGCAGAACTTTTACTATCATGACTGACCACAAACCTTTGAATTATTTATTTGGAATGAAGTATCCATCTAGTAGGTTAATTAAATATCGTTTAATTCTTGAAGAGTACGATTTTAAGATTGTGTATGTGAAGGGTAAGAATAATGTAATCGCAGATGCATTATGCAGAGTGTGTATAACATCAAGTGAACTGAAATGTATGAATGAGGAGGTTTTGGCAGTTGTAACGAGACAACAAAAGAAAAAGATGGAGCAGAATAGTACGGTAGAACAGACTTCGCTTAATAAGTACCCTGATGAGTGGCCTGATCAACCACGCGTCGTGGAACTATTAAGACAGCCATGTGATTCCGTAGAATTGAGGTTGACTGACAGGGAAGTAATCGAAAAATTTAAGAAAGGAAATGATAAAGTGATAGAAGAAGAATGTTTTATGTATGTACCAAATAAAATGTTATTGTGTGTTAATTTAGGTTTTAAGTTGCATGTCTCGCGAGCCGAATTTGCAATTAAACTTAAAGAGTTTTGCGAAAAAATAAAAGTAAAAGAATTATGTATAGTAAAAGATGAAAAGAATACTGAGTTTATAAAAGGAATATGTAGTGAAGTTAAATCTTTGAGTGAATTGTCCGGACCCCGAATATATATGCTGAAAGGAATAGAGAGAATTTATGATGAAAACGAGAAACAATTTATTTTAAATGACTGTCATTTATTACCCACTAGTGGACATGCTGGAATAACTAGAATGACGAATAATATTAGGAGAAAATACTATTGACCAGGGCTAGATTCGGATATCCGCAAATATATAAGTAAATGCGCATTATGTCAGAAAATGAAACAAGGTAAATATACTAAACAACCTATGACTTTAACCTCCACTGCGTCGACTAAGTTCGAGAAGGTTTTCCTGGATTTAGTTGGACCATTAGATAGGGATGAGAATGGAAATTGTTATATTTTAACTCTCCAATGCGAGTTAACAAAATATATAGAGGCGTATCCATTGCCTAATAAAGAAGCTGTTACAGTTGCAGAAGCTTTTGTAAGTAACTTTATTTTAAGATTCGGTATTCCGAAATGTATAGCTACAGATAGGGGGACAGAATTCATGTCTCAGGTTATGGAACAGGTATGTAAGTTATTAGAAATCGATAAGTTATCGTCAACTGCATACCACCACCAATCAATCGGTTCTCTTCAGATAGCTCATAAACATTTAGGTGCGTTTCTAAGAACTTATTGTACTAATTCGAATTTTTCATGGTCCCATTGGGTTCCATTTTGGTGTTTTAGTTATAATAATTGTGTGAACACTCAAACTAAGTACACTCCTTTTGAACTTGTTTTTGGTAGACAATGTCGTTTGCCAAATAATTTGAATTATGATGTTGAACCACTTTATAATCCTGATAATTATTGTTTAGATTTAAAATATAAATTGCAAGTAGCCTTAAGAGATGCTAGAAATAATTTGATAACTTGTAAGAAAAAAAGGAAAGATAAATATGATGAATCATGTAATCCTGTATTTTATAATAAGAATGATCTTGTTTTACTTAAAAATGAATGTGCTCGTAAATTAGATTGTGTTTTTGATGGATCTTATAAAGATGTAGAAGATTTAGGAGTAAATGTGAAAATTTATATAAATGGTAAAATTGACATTGTTCATAAGAATAGGACTAAGAAATTTAGTAGTTAAGGATATTCTTTTTTTCTCTCTATTTTTTTCCTTTGCCCCCAAAGGTGAAGTAACCTATGTACTTGTAGGTGATATTCGATGTATTAGAAAGTAAGCCAGTATTAAATAAACACTCGAGTTGAACAAACGTGTTGATCTTTTCATTCCATTACTAATATCATAATTCACTGACAATCCTGCAAATATGGGAATAAGTGGTAAAAATCCTCCACACTTTGGAAGAGAAATACAACGGGGTAAACTTATTCCTTTTTTACTACTAAATATTTTCTTTGCAGCTGCATAGGCATATTTTATATACGAGTGACTGTCTTTGGATTTTAGTTTTCTCAACTGAGACTGTATTTTTGTATCCCCTTCTTAAATGCTTTTATACCATTCCCCGCCTGGATTTTCGCTTTCATCGCATTTTTGAATATCCATGAGGCAATTTTTTCTCCTTTCCTAGCATCTTCTGATTTCAACCCCCTCTTAGCAATTTTCAAAAGTTCTAAATCCGCTTTTTGTTGAGCGCCCGAATCTTTGTTAGTGTAAGCAATATCATGGAGCATGCACGCTTCATCCAATTTGTTTATCCCACGATCGCCTTTGAGTAACCGTTTTTGAAGTTTAGTTCCGGGGCCGCAAAATTGATAATCGGGTAAATGTAACTCAAACGGTAAATTGTCTATTACTTTATTAATTATACCACTGCCTTCCTTCATCGATAAGTATAAAATGACATTATTAAGTAATTATACGTTATTTATATACCTAAACCACTAATTCACTTTTATCCACCCAACTATTTTCTTCATCACTCAAACCTAACCATTTTACTAAAAGCTTATTTCCATTTCTTTTAATGACTTTTTCAATAAGATAAAGGTCTGGAAATTTAGTTTTTTGTAATTCGTAACCGTAAAAAGAGCCTACAATTTTTTTGATTGTGTTTGTCTTCTATTTGATAGGTTTGAGGATTGGTTTGGTTGACTTTAACGACACGAAATATTTCTGTAGACCAATTAGGGGTTTAACCTTTGTAAAAATCTCCTTCGTATTTGCTTATACGAACGTAATCACCAGCATGAAACGCCGGTCCTTGACGTATCTTAGGCTTTTGAGACTTCTTGATGTTTGACATAACTAAAATCGCATTTGAATCATTGACGTTGATATTTTGTAATGCGATGTAAAGTATTATTATACCGCTTTACAACAAAATCTAAATTATTTTTGAACCATTAATATCGTCCGCATAGACTGAATATTTTGTAAAGGTGAGTTTTTAAAGTTCTTATTACTCGTTCTAAAATGGAGGCCTTTTTAACGGAGTATGTGGAATAATGATTTATATTATAATTTTTCATTAAATTCTTAAAAGAATCATTATAAAACTCTGTACCAAGATCTGTTTGTAAATTTTTAGGTTTTCGTCTTGATTCGGATAATAAGCTTTGCATCGCATTTTTGACACAATTTTTATGTTTCGTTTTCAATGGTCTAACCCATACGTATTTTGATAGAGCATCGATTACTACTAAAACATATTTATATCCTTTATTAAACGTGGAATATTTTTGAAATTCAATCAGGTCAGCTTGCCATAAATCATCTATTCCTTTAATAATCGTATGTTGACGAGAAAAATTTCTTCTTGCTGCTTTGTGAAGCTCATTGACTATATCTTGTTTACTCATTTTGGGCAGGTTTTGATGCAATCATGAGGTCGATTTCCTTTTTAGTGTAATACATTGTCCTGAAATTGGTAGTAGTTAATTTTTCTAAATTGTTAAGGTACTTTTTGATATTATTGTGAATTGTTTTCATTTCATTTTTAAGTTCTTGAACACATTTATCCACATATTCTTTATTCACAGCCTCATCCTCTTTTTCAGGAGTTTGCAGTCCTTTTAATCTTGTTGATTTCAAATCAAAATGATCAGCGTCTGTTCTTACTAAAGCGTCACTAAGAATATCAGAGCATTCAGATAGTCGTAAACGCTTATGAACATGATGACCAAATTTGTCTATATTCATAGCCATCTTATCGGCTTCTGCAATGAAATGGTACTGCGTAATCCTCCTGTAGGCAGTTTAATATATTTAATGTCTTTTGATTATGCCAGATTCATACAATTCTTCCATAATTGCATAAATTTCATTGTAAACCCCTATGTTACTAGCTGCCTATGATCCAAGTAGTAATTTTAATCGTTCCACCAACTCGTTTGGATCGTTCCAGTAAATCAAATCAGTATCTTTTCTTTTTAATCTATTTAAAATATCAACTGCTTCTCCCTTTGGAAGACTTTCTGCACTACTTTTATGATTTCTCAAGTGCTTAAACAATGGTTTGATCACTTGCATATATTTAAATCCTTTGTTACTATTAATCGGTTTGGACGGATCATAATTACGTTTGTGTGCATTAGTATGCAAAAGTAACAATTTATAATTTTGTAAGTCTTCCTCTGTCTCAATATCTAAATTTGGTAGCTTTTTAAACAATAACTCTTTTAAGCCTGGAGTTTTTTTCAAACTATGATTTCCAATTTTTAAGATGTGATCATTATCATAGACACGAAATGGGCCGAGCATTAGTTTCCCACGCTCATTTCTGACACCATAAGGTACATCTTTTAGTAATTCAGATGACATAGTCCATGATAATGAATCATTTGCAATACTTGGTGTTGATAGGTGTGATTTAAACGAAATTTCATTCGCGTCATTACTTGGTTATCCGCAGGAAGCGAGTGAGTAAGGGTTTTGTGGGATGTTGTATAAACATTGTTATCTGAGTTTTCTTCATTATTAACAGGATCTTCAAACACATCACTTGAGGAAATCGATGACTCACTTGTGCTCTACTTAGGTTTTTTAATAAGGTGAGCGTGGTCTGTATCTTCATTTAAATGCTGCTTTTCTTCAGTTTTTCTGGTAAGCATATTAATTGGATCAACGATGGGCTTAAATATTGTTTCCAAAGCCAGACTGTTTGTATTTTTTGCATCTTTTATTATTTCTACCTTTCGTTTTACAGCTGCAGCAGATTTTACAATTTGTTTCTTGAAGTCTCTCTCCATTGTAAAGGAATTATACTATGTTTGACTACTCCGCAGAAACTGATTGCTTTGTGACATAGCAGCTATTTAAACGTTAGTCTAAAATTATGTTATGTATTTATGTAATTATGTTGTGTATGTTAATTAGGTAATTATGAATGTATCAAACTTCATTCTGTAACAGCCTTTATTTCTCTCACAGTCTTTATTTATAACAATATAATTGAAAGGTTTACTCCACACAGTTGAACACATTTCTCGGAACTGAGACCATGCCATGTCAGACCCTAGATGCTCGTCATAAATGTGTCTCAGATTTACATTGCCTTGTTTAAACAATATGTTCAGGTTAGCGTTATCTCTAACTAGTTGCTTAGGTATCTTAGTATACGTTTGATTAATATAAAAACAGTCAATGTTCTTATGTCGACCCATGGCGAAATAATCGCGTATGTTGTTCTGATTTTCACAAGCTACATCGTCAAATATTATAATTGAGTTAGGCGAAGCTTCGTGTGGACTCAAAATTTCGCTATTATGATTATACTTGTAATAAGATATACCTTCCACATTCTGCAGTACTTTTTCTAAAAATAAGTATTTAGGTTGATATAAAGACTTTGAATATACATAAATGTTACGAAAACGCGGTCCATTCTGATGTAACATTAAGCTGATAACTAAGTTAGTTTTTTCGCAATTTGATGGACCGCATACAATACTACGTATCGTATTTGGCAATAAGCTCCCATGACGTTTAACCTTATTTTTTGGTGCAGGACAGATACATTCTAATTTAAGTGATTCTTTTTGTTTGAGAAATTTCATAACAGTTTTGTTAACTTGTCCGTATTGGCTGATAGGTTTTAATGAACTAACGTTATTTCAATCGTGTTAATAATTTAAAAACTTGAAAAAGTTGCTGAAGATTAACTTAACCATCAGCTTTAGTTCAAATTTTTTATATAGGATAGGGTGACAAACGAGCACACAGTCCACCTGATGGCAAGTGGTTGCTGTGGCCCATAGACATCTACACCTATCCTCGTTTGCAAATAAAAATGCAGATGCGTTGTCACCCTTGAGGATTAAGATGGAATGCCTCTTTTTCCAGTAAAAGGGGTCTCTGGTTCTCTACACTCATCATACGAAACACAGCAGCGTTAAGCTGCTATTTTACGCTGGTATTCTGTGAGAGCATGGTCCTTCCACGGTCGAGCCGACCCATTCGTGCTACAACTATACTACTAATATAGCTGCAGCATGGCTCTACCATGTAAAAGCATTCACTCACTCTTGCTTCGCTCAAGCTATGTGCCTACTATAGACCATAATTCTCTCAAGTATAGGTCCAAATTTTTTTTAGTCTAACCAAATTAGTACCTACATGCTTGCAGGTTTCTATTTTAAATCAATTTCTTTAACCAATAGTGGGTGATCGCAAATGATCTAGCGGTTTGTACTACGAATAAGCTACCAAGCCTGATGGCTGTGGTTCTATTCCCATCCAGTATAAAAATTAGGGTGCCTGAACACATGAAAACATTCGTATATACTGTTGGAGGCCTTTTATTTTCTTCTTTTTTTCTATGTGTAACTAGCGAGCGTTAGCAGTTCAGGCAATATATTATGATTGAGTAACAAACATAAAAAAAAAACATCTAACATACACTTTCATTTATACCCCGAGTCAATTTGTACCCCGAGTAGGAGAGATACGAAGTATCAGCCAGATAGGACACTTGTGTCTCGATTAGAAAGAGCAAGATGGTAGTGGACAGCGTTAAGGTTTGAATAAAGTCCCCTGATGTTGCAGAAATTCACGAATAGCGGGGCAGGGGACGCTTTTGATTTGTTGCTCTGTTTGCCCCGAGCAGGTTTAGTCTTAAGCGGAATTCGCAACGCAGTCATCTGGTCTCATCTAACTCCATATCCTCAACCGTATGGCAGAAGACATAGACCTATTGTTGTACTCTGGGTAGGTTTATAGTGAGTGCACTCTTTGAAATAAATTATGGTCGTACTTTGATATAGGTATGGTGTAGAAATAAGTACATATGAATAGAATAGAATAGAATATTTTTGTATTCAATATAGATCACATGTGTACTTCTTATTGAAAGTCATTTTTTACTTTACCACTAGTTCAAAAAAGAACCTCCGTCCTGGAAAGATATTCGTCTATGCGCGCTCGTCTCATAAACATCAGTTCTGTGTGTTGCGAAATATACCCACTACGAACAATTATTTTCTAACAACCGTCGTTATGTCACTAATTCCAAAGTGTTACATGTGCAACAGAATAATTACGAAAAAGGCGCCAGGTCTTGAGTGTAGTGTATGTAAAAAAGTGGTTCATGCTACTACACCTTGTGCAACTCTAACTACGAAACAGATAACCGCGCTACGAGCTAAGTCAGCTTAGACTGGACATATAAGGGACTGCAGTGGACTGTATGAATTTAACTAACTGACTGGCTGATTGACTAACTAACTGTGTGACGAATGATGTTATTTAAAGGTAGACTACACTAGGGACTATTTAAGAAAAGAGGGTACTGTAGACGATTATATATTCAACTAGAGGGGAATCTTCAAACTTCAATGGAGTATTAATTCTTCTCTCTTGATTTCTCTTGATATTTCTTCTCTTGCTGTTGTCTTCAAGTGCCGCTTCCGAAATGAACAGCTCACAGACCAAAACGCCCTTCTTATATCTCAAAAGAGAGTGTCTCGGCATGTAAATAGCGTCGTGAGGTATGCCGCGCACTGATTCGTCGACGGTATCACGTGATATGCGGACGGTGTGCGGGGTGCGCGGGGCGTAAAGGGGTATGAAGGGGCGACGGGGCGGCGACTTCTCTCGCCGTCCGTAACAGGACATGTAATGACTGCCTGAAAAATCGTCCAAGACACAGCTCTTTTATAGTACCAGAGGAGGATTTTGAGAAAGAGGAAGGAGTACCAGCCAGCTATTCACACCCAGTAGCTGGCACCCCAGAATCCCAAACTACCTGGCATAATATTGATATTAAAAAACTACTGAAGAATATGTTTTTATAGGATAGGGTGACAAACGAGCACACAGTCCACCTGATGGTAAGTGGTTACTGTGACCCATAGACATCTACATCTATCCGCAATAAAGACTCAAGATACAGATGCGTTGTCACCCGTGAGAAAAACCCGTATAATAGGGTCTACGGTTCTCTACACTCACCATACGAAACACAGCAGCGTTAAGCTGCTATTTAACGCTGGTTTTCTGTGAGAGCGTGGTCCTTCCCCGGTTGAGACGACCCATTCGTGCTACAACTATACAACTAATATAGCTGCAGCATGGCTCTACCACGTAAAAAATATCTCTAAAGAGGTTGACAAAACAGTTGCAAAGGCGCTAGAGTCTTTGACTGACAAAATCGATGAAATATGCAAGAATATTGAAGCATTGTAACAGAATAATTGTACTAGAAAGGAAAAACGCCTCACTTACCAACGCTAACAAAAATATGGAAACAAGACTGTGTTCAGTTTAACAGCGAGTTTATGAACTTGAGCAAGATCAGTTTAAAATCATGTGGAAATTTCTGGATTACCGGCCCTAGAAAATGAAGATCCTATTCTAGTAGTGA